TCGCCTTTGGCATATTCTAGGAATTCATAGCCATGTACTTGAAATGTAGATAACAACAAAATTCATCTTGATTGTAACATACGTGTATGTTTGGTTGCATATTGTAAGCAACCTATGACAACGTCGCATTTGTATATACACGGCGGCATCGCCACTCACCCGTATGAAGTCACGCAATAAACATGCTTCCTAAAACCATTGAATTTATAACTATTATAAATTCAATGCTAAAACTATCGCATTTATTATCACAATCAGCCGTAAATAGCATAAGCGTTACATGGTGTCAGAAGTTCGTTTCGAGGTAAAAAGTTCAGTGTTTCGTGTAAAATTGATCGGGCGTAGGGTGACCATATATTTTAAGCATGAATGCTGTACAGCAAATAATAAAACAGTTTTTTTATGTTGCCATTTATTTTTAAAGATATTTCTCAGTTGAATGAACTTTTTTCAATAACGCTTGATTATCTTTAATTTTTGACAAAAAGTCCTCGCCAGACTGTCCTAAGTTACACCAGTAGAGGAGTACACAAGACTAGTCTAGACTCTAGTTGGTCTCAACCTCAACGAAAACACGTTTTTCGAAAAATCACTGGCGCAGCATTATAACGCATCACATGCTCTAGGACCTAGGTGGGTGAGGTACGGTGAGAACTTACCGAGTGACGACTGCCGAGTCGCGCGAATCGATTGCCTTCCACACTGTGCGGAAGCCCGGAATGGCAAAGCCGAGTTGCAAATTTAATAAACGGAGCAATATGCATACTCCTTATTTTACATTGAACGATATAATGCTGTACATTTGGCTGTACATCACTCGACGCTGTACAGATTGTCAAAATTCCGTACAATACAGCAAAATTCCGTACATATGGTCACCCTAATCGGGCGTGTAAAAATTCCGCAATAAATCAATTTACCGTCAAAGACGTTATCCTTACGAACAATACGAACCACGCGGAGATTACAAAATGGCGGGTATTAAACCACCGAAATCTCTCTTAATTAACAACGACGTGGCTAAGAATTGGAAGAACTGGCTTCAACAATTTGAATGGTACGAAACCGCAGTACAGCTACAGGAGAAAACGGCAGAAGTACAAGCAGCAACGTTCATGAGTACAATTGGGCCAGATGCAATCCACATATTCAACAGCTTTCATCTTACGGCTGCGCAACAAAAGGACATCAAAACGATAAAAGATAAGTACAACAATTACTTTATTCCAAAAATCAATGTTTCGTTCGAGCGATACAATTTCTTTAAAGTAACTCAAAAGGAAAGCGAAACATTTGACGAATTTCTAACCGTAATTAGAAATTTGGCCAAAACGTGCGATTTCAAAGACTTGAATGACGACTTGTTAAAAGACAAAATTATATTCGGAATTAGAGCGGAACAAGTTCGCGAGAAGTTACTAACACAAGAGAAATTGGATCTCGATAAAGCTATTTCAATCTGCAAATCGTCCGAACAGACCACTAAACAACTACTAGAGTTAGGTCAAAACGAAAGCAAAATTGATAGTGTTAAGAAAAGAATTTTTCTGTAGACGATGCAATAGTAAACACGGGAAGAGCAAATGTTCAGCATTTAACCATAAATGTCAAAAATGTAATAAAAAAAGGGCACTTAGAAGCTTCCTGTTTTTCCCAAAAGTCTAAAAAGCGTACCGATATAAATATCAACAAAGTAGAACAAGAAATTGACAGTAGTTCGGATACCGATTCACTCTTTATAAACAAAATTAATCAGGGATCGCATGCCGACTGGCAGGAAACAATCCATCTCAATAACGAAATAGTATATTAAAGAACAAGTTTCATAAGTAGCTGTTTTATCGCACGTGTCCAGTTTGGAAAATGAGCCGCGTAGCGGCGAGTTTTCCAAAGGACAAGTGCGATAAAACGGCTTATGAAACGAGTTATTTATACTACTTTTTCTATTTCGCGTGATTTCTATTGTAAAAAACTAAAAATAGTTCAAAATTCTGTACTACTTCACATTAGTTGTAAATGTTAAGTTGGTAGCACTGGTTCGCTTTTTCAAATTGAAAATTTTGAAGTTTCAATTTTTGCGCAGATATAGCGAATTGCCATTTGGTACTGCAATTTTTGTGAAATAGAAATGGAAGAGCAGCACGAAATCATAACTTGCACGCCACCTGAATTGCGGGAAATAGCAAACAGTACCGTAGGTAATTTGCTTCCGCAGAAATCGAAACTAAAATATGAAAAGGAATACCTTAAATTTGACCAGTGGTGTAAAGAAAATAAAGCCCAACACATTTCGGAGAATGTTTTATTAGCATATTTTGAATTACAAACTCATTTGAAAAAGCCATCGTCATTATGGTCAATGTATTCGATGCTACGATCCTACCTAAATGTGCATAAAAATGTAGATATATCAAGATACGTCAAGTTACAAGCACTGCTAAAAAGATTTTCGCAAGGCTATGAGCCAAAAAAATCAAAAATTTTAGATTTAGAGCAAATTAATCGATTTATTCAGGAGGCTGACGACAAGCATTATTTAGATACAAAAGTAAGTAGAATTTTTTGTTCTAGTGGGTAGGTAGGTACTAGCTACAGGAGTATCTTGTTTGTATTCTCGTTGTAGGTTATTTTAATAATGGGCTACAGTGGGGCATGCAGACGCGAGGAGCTGACTAATATGGCACTGGGCGACATCCAATATAAAAATGATATTGTTGTTGTATCGGTGCCTAAAACAAAAACAAATGTAATGAGACAGTTTGTCATCACCGAGAAATTGTGGATTGATATTATAAAAAAATATAGCAGCATACGCCCAGTTAATACTTGCCATCAACGATTCTTTGTAACATACCGTAGTGGTCGCTGCATTACTACTCCGATCGGAATCAATACAATGGGCAAGACGCCACGAAAGATTGCAGAGTTTCTACAATTAGCCAATCCGGCACAATACATCTGGGCACTGTTTCCGGCGTTCAAGTGTCTCACATTTAGCCAACAGCGGTAGTGACTTGGTCACCATTAAACGACATGGCGGGTGGAAGTCCTCCGCAGTTGCCGAAGGATAAGTATATTGAAACGTCGGTTCAACGAAAAGTGGAAGTTGCAGGAACTCTTGCCCAAGCAAGTAAATCATCCTCATCATTACATGGAATTCTTGCACAAGGATGTACATCAACACATGTAGAAAGTGCCGTTCCCAGTGCTATAATTGAAGGAAATATAAATCGTGCCGAACACAACATCGTAACCCACAATTTACCTGGTATCAAAGTCAATACACATGATGGAGCTGTTACCGTCAAAGTGTACAATAATTGTACATTTAATTACGCAGATAAGGACGAAATCTAAGTTTGTTGTATTTACTTTATTATGATTAAAGCTTTCGTTGTGCAACTTTAGTTAGAAATGTTTGGTTATGTTATGTACACATTAGGAATAAATACCATCGACTATTAGCATTTGCAATGTTACCAACAGTTGAAAACAAAATCTATGCGGTGCGTTAATGGCTATTATAGAACGATACGCGATTGCGTGCGGTAATGGAGCTATAAACAACGCGAAATAGAAAA